GATAGATCCTGGTTAGTGTCATCAATTGATGTGATGTTTCCCGAGGATGTGCCTGACTCACTCCCTTCCCTGAATCTCTTATTGCTAGGCTGTTTAGTTTGTCCACTGGAGGATACAGCAGATTGACCAACCTTTCTAGCACCTGAGCCCTGGCCCATGCTTTTGCTTGAGGAAAAGTTTTTGTTCTTAGGCTTTCCAGTGTTGAGAGACATTTTGATAATCCCAAATATTGTATTTTGAAAAGTTTTGAAGATTCAATAGAAGCAGATTCCTGTTTTAATTTTTAATTATGGAGGGGTTGTCTAGATTGTTTTCAATATGATTCTATGGTAAGGCCAAGCTGAGTAGATATCAATATGGAGATTCATTATGGAGGTTCATAGACTAGCTTGGAAAACACAAAGAAAACTTTTTAACTCACATTGTATGTCACTTAATACTTGTGAAATAGCATCCAGAAATCACTTATCCAGTTACAGGATCACAAATCCCCTCCTCTTTATCATCCAATTAACCAAGAACCATAATAATTGCACTGGAGTTGGAAAGTGCCTACTCCATGTTTGACCTTGACCTTGACAAAAAAAAAAAAAAATATTTTATCTAATCTTATTAAAGTAACATGAAGGTCCAAGGGCTGGAGGTTTGTATATTTGATCTATATTAAATGTTTCTCACTGCATCTTATAAAACATATCACTATAACTAATCACTTATACTTACTTATTTACTGACTTACTGACTTTCTTACCTATTAACTTATGACTCGTCTTCCCTATATTCTTATACGGGTTTTTTTTTTTACTATTCCCTAGTGTTATTCTTTTAAAGATGTATAAGATTCATAGTATTTTTGACATTTATAATGTGGCTTGATCTTTTTTTTTTTTATTTTTGTTGTGTAGATTAATGTAAGTTACAATGAATACTAGTATTGAATCAAAATACGTTATTTTCATAATCACTTTCACTTGGATGTGTTCTTATTTATCATTTTTAAAACTGTGTACGTTCCTAAATAAAAAAAATTAAATTGGACTCTAACATACGAGCATTGCTATTTGCAATATCTAATCATAATTTCCATTTCACTTTAAGACAAGAACTCTCATATTTAAAAAACCATGAGGTCTAGATTAAATATTTCCACTTTAATGTTTTCGTAATATTGGGGAAAAAACAAAGATTGATATTCCAGTTTTTGTAATAGAATATTTAGTATGTTTATATGATCGATCAAAATGATTATTACGATAAATCTAATATTAAAAATATATCAAGTATATGCCAATTATTGATATTGTATAAAAAATATACAGGGAAATAACGAAAAGTATACGAGGTAAAAACTCCATCAAACAAATCAAAATAGGAGCAGAGCAATCACGGACTCCGTCACATCAGCCTAAAATATTTGTAAATAATGGTCACTCTAGTGGTTTTTGTACAAGTTTAAGTATACATGTACTTGTATTCCGTTATTTCCCGATTATAACAATGAGCACACAGTGGATGTGACCGGTCAGCATGGGATGCTCACTCCTCCATGGGACCTGATCCAAGCTCTGATTTTTTGGAGTATTTAGATTTCCGTGTTTGCTCCTCTCCTACCTGTATTTTGTATTGTTTTATGGACCACCTCTGATGTTTTAGAGTTTTTGGAGTTTCGTGTTTGCTCCTCTCCTACCTGTATTTTGTATTGTTTTATGGACCACCTCTGATGTTTTGGAGTTCCGTGTTTCCTCCTCTCCTACCTGTATTTTGTAGAATTGTTTTATGGACCACCTCTAATGTTTTGGAGTTTTTTGGAGGTCCATGTTTGCTCCGCTCCTACCTGTATTTTGTATTGTTTTATGGACCATTTCTGATGTTTTAGAGTTTTTGGAGTTCCGTGTTTGTTCCTCTCGTACCTATATTTTGTATTGTTTTATGGACCACCTCTGATGTTTTGGAGTTCCGTGTTTGCTCCTCTCCTACCTATATTTTGTATTGTTTTATTGACTTTTGAGTTGGATTATTCTTTGTTATTTCTACATATTTCACTGAAAGAAAAAAATACTATCCGATATAATACACGATAGTAGTATAACGGGTCTAGATAGCCCGGAAGATTCTGATTGGCTGAGAGAAATCATGTGATCAGTTCTGAGGTTGAGGGGATAAATGGGTCAACTGAGTGGAGTTCTAACCCTAACCCCTTATCCCCTAACCCTATCCCCCTTAGCCCTAACTAACCCTAACCCTAACTAACCCTAACCCTAACTAACCCTAACCCTATCCCCCTTAGCCCTAACTAACCCTAACCCTAACTAACCCTAACCCTAACTAACCCTAACCCTACCCCTAACTAACCCTAACCCCCTAACTAACCCTAACCTATTCCCCTTAAATACGGGGTGTGTTTACATTGGTACGTAGGTACTACGTTTTTGTTTTTTTTGCTGACTATACAGGTAAAAAAATGCGCCGTGTGCAAAAAAAACATTGCAAGAATGTGATTATGACGTCACGCATTCACAGTCTAGACAGTCCTATAACCGGTTTGAACTGGTTTTACTGAAAGACAAGAACCACCTGGATTTTTTTACTGAAAACAAAACACAAACAAGACAGATTGTGATTTTCAATTTTTATTCACAATGAAAATACATACATACAATTTACATTTTCTGTTTCTTCTTCTTCTGTCCCTTATCAGTGGTCAGGGATAGTTTCCTCTTGTGAGTAGTGCTGGGGCCTGGGATCTCTCTGTTTTCTTCCTTTTTCTCTTTTTTGTCTCCTTTTTTCACTAAAGGTTTGGTCTGGTGGGTCCCTGAAATCTTGGGTTCTTGATGCTTTTTCTCCAGTTTTTGTATTTCTTTCACTAACTGGTGTGTCTTCCTTCCTTGTTGGCGAATCTTTTCCATCACTTCTTTTCTAAAATCACCTATATCATTATGAATTATCTGCATGATAAAAGCCATTTGATTTAAGATACCGCATATCATTCTCCTGTCATCTACATCTAAAAGATCCTGTGTTTCTGGTACGGTCTCCTTTGTATTTTCCTCTGTCATATTTTACCTGTGTTGAATTCAGAATGCTAACGAAGAATGATCGTCGATGTCCAGCTCTGGTTTATATACCTTTACTGTAAGTGCCGTGTGCAAAAAAAATACGTTTTACCTACGTTTTCTTATATTTACCTGTTTGCATCCTCTATAAAGTGCCGTGTGCAAAAAACTGAGGGTCGTGTGCAAAAGAAATATACCTTTTACCTGTGTTTTCTTATATATACCTGTTTGCATCCTCTGTAAAGTGCCGTGTGCAAAAACTTACCTATGCATTGTGACGTCATCCACTGTATAAATACAATGTGATTATGACGTCACACTTTTTCATTTACAGTCTAGACAGCCTAGTCTAGCCAGCCTAACCGGTTTGAGCTGATTTTTTTTACTGAAAGACAATAACAAATAACACTCAATACAAAAAAAAAAACATGTGTGTGTGTTATGTCTGTCAAGTTATAACACCAGGTCACTTTTTTAAAAAACTTAGAATTTCTTTTTAAATTTTTTAAACTTTTTTTTTTATAAAATTAACTTATAAATTTTTTAACTTTTAACTTTTTTAAAATAACTTTAAATGTTTTTTTTTCTTATTACTTTTTTTTTGGTAAACTCCCCTTATAGTTTTTAAGAAATAAAATAAAAAAATCATGTAATACTACATCAGTGTTATGTTATTGTATGACTTCATCTTTTATACAGTCGGGTTCGGGGTTTCGGGCAGCCATGGCGAATTTCGGCAAAGATTTTACCCCAGTGAAAAAGGCTTGTAATCCACAGTGTAGGTCGTTTAAAATTGTTTCACATTGTTTATGATTGTGATTATGTTATCGCTCACCTATATGTTTAATGTCAGCTATGCTAAATAACCCATTTCTGTGTAATTTGAGAGAATGTTTTGACATGTGGTTAAAGTATGGCGTGCTATTCATGTTATCATTTAAAGTCGATCCTAAATAAATCTATCTTAAAAAATACATTTTACGAATGACATTTAATATGATTGATTAGAGTATAGGTATCCATATATAAGAGATATTATTTTGCATTACATTTAAACATGTTTTTCTGTCAATTTATTGCTTTACTTCCTTTGTAAAATGAGATTAAATTGAGTATCACTGAATATTGTATGCTTTTTTTTTTCAGGATCAGCTAAGATGTTGTTTCACTGGATTATTTAATTGGGCATATAATTGGATAATTCTGGTAAGTTTGTCTTTGTTTTGTTTACATTTCCTATGATGGACATATCTTTGCATTTAATCATAATTATATGTAAAGTTCTATTTTGAATGTAAATGTACTGTATTTATCCTCATTTCATGTGATTTACATTTGTATAACCTGCATGTAACTCAGAGTGCATTTAATATTTCTATGATGGGTCATTCCATGATATTGAATTTCAATCAGAAAAATGTTCTCTAAATTTTTGGTAAAATACATGGTATCTTTTACATTTCTATCCCTTTTGTATGTAAATTACTTTGCTTTACTTACATTGTAAAATGAGGTTAATTGTGTATCACTGAATATTGTATGATTTTTTTCAGGATCAACTGAGATGTTATTTCACTGGATTATTTAATGGATAGACTTATTGGGCATATATTTGGATATCTCTGGTTAGTTTGTCTTGTTTTTTAATTGTTTACATTTCCTCATTCATATAAGCACACCCTTATTTAACCTAAAATATATTAACACATGATTAAGGGATCTTCAGAATATTAATAAGTCCTTTTGTATAAATGATATGATTTAATTTCATAATTCATTATGTATGTTACCCATGGCCATGGAATTCAGACTTACTTAATGGTGATAAAGAGATATTAATTAGGAATCTAATAAGAGAAATGGAGGAATTTACAAAAGATTAATCCTAAGTTTTTTCTGACATAACTAATAAAAATTTATATAAAAGCATTTAATATTAGAAAGAGACATGTTGACATCTGATATCTGTGAGACTATTGGAAAATGTCAGGATATCAAGAGTGCTAACAAACTTTGATTAGAAAAGCTTACTTATAGTTCAGACAAACTTTTAAAAATAAATGGAGCTAATATCCCCCCCCCCCCCCCCCCAAAAAAAAATTCAGATGAACTTATAATGAACTAAGATTTAATTTAGTAGACTGATTTGGCTTACCCTAGAGTGAGGTACAAACTCCTCAGAGAGTTTTCTAAGAGGAATTCATAGTCAATCACCATCTGTCCCAGCCGAGGAAAGGAGGGATCACTGGAAATAATTAAATCTTAGTAACTAAATTTACACAAACAAAAGATGCATTAAGTCTTAAGAAATAAGAGTATTAAAAGTATCAGTATACATGTATATAGCAGTAATCCTTGATTCTGCATTTTCACTTTTTTTTTAATTAGGCGTTTCAGTCTACCAAATTTGGTATGATCCTGTGTGTTCATTAATTACACAGTAACAAATGTTTTTTGTCCCCCCCCCTCCAAAAAAAAAATCTTTTGCTTTAGTTCTTTTTCTCTTTTGGAATAGTTCATATTTTTAAACATTTATAAAAATTTTGGGGGAAAAAACTGATTCCCTCCCTTTTGAAGCATGGAGATACTCGTAAGCCACATTGTACAGAGACAGCACTACTCTTTTTTATCCTCCACGCGGGACACCAGAATCATGATGGACACATAGGCGAAATTAGGTTCAGATAGTTCAGGGTCGGTGGGATAGTTCAAGGTCTACCAAAGTATAAATATAACACAACTCAACAAGTTGTACATCTCTGCATATACAAGGTATGATTTTAATATAGTCCAATTTAATACATTTATTTAGGTACTTACAATGTCCATATGAACTTGACAGGCATCAATCGTAGTCAGCAAATCAACGACATGATCCTTAAAATAAAATAAGATGGAGGTAACTTGTAAAATTCTTTTTTTTAAAATGATAAAAGAGAAAAACAGTTTTCAGATTACATTTGTTCAATTCTTTGGAACAGACTTAACTCTTATGCATCAAAGGTTCATCTAGAATGATTAAAAGAAACACAATTTTCTTAAAGTTTTGCCATAGTTTTTGAAACTGATTAAAACCAACCTTGAAGTCCATGATGTCCACAAAAGTGAAGTAGTATAGAGACAAGGACTTCACGACATCCTGTTTGATGTTGTTGATCACTTGGAGCTACAATCACGAGTTGACAAGAATAAATGCAAAATCATGGCATGAGAGTTTGAACACACATGCACAAAAATACTATTTCTCAAAAGGCTATAACTCTGCTACAAATCACTTTCTACACCTCCTAAAATTAAATTTTATAAACAAAATATCATCTTATCATTGTTGATTTATCATAAAACTCATAATCTTACAATACACATTACATTCTGAATTTCAGTATCGAGAGTGAACTGAATACATTGTACATTAAAAATTAAAACTGTGATATAAAACATCTGATATTTTAGCACCAAGAATATTCAAGTGTATCCATGCAAATGTTCAAGTGCAAATTAGAAACAAAGAATTACACTGTGAACTTATAAATTTTGGCAGAAAAAAAAAAAATTTCCCCCTTTTTTAAAACCCGTACAATACTTTATGCACATTTAATAACAGTGATTTAAAATGTTTCAAGCAGAGCAGAAAATGCTAAAAAATGTTTTAAACCTCTTACTTTGGTACTACCTGTTCCAGGAAAAACTCTATTAAGATGACATTTACTTTCATCATGTTTTTAAAATAACCATGCCATATATCTTATCAAAAGAAGGTGTACTATAAAATTTTCAAGCAGAGGTATAAATATTTCTTTTGATTAACTTCCATGACTTTATTGCATGCAGGCTGTTTAGTAGTTACTGTTAGTTTTACAAATAATGTAATGCTAGAAACTTGACATACATGTACTATTAATATGCATTCTGAATGCTGAAGAATCATAATTTGGTTTGCAATTTATTCATGGGCAGCAAGAGAACAGGTGAACATACTTGTAACATGTGTAATGGTGAGAAAAATTAAGAAAAATTGGAGATGTCATTTGTATACTTTAAGTGTACGTTTTAAGATGAGGAAAATATAACAGCTCTAAAGAACGGAACATGCTGCAGGCATCCTTGCACTTAGTGACTTACGGCCCCAGCATGGTTGTCTATGTTGGGAAATTTCTTGAGTAGATATTTGAAGGCCGACCCAAACTTTTATCAGAGAGAAACGGTGGTTTGCTGTCGGTGTTCGTAAGCATCTTTAAACCGAAAAAAATACAGAAAACACAGTTAAAACACACTCTGAAAACCTTGTCGACTTACTGTGGTAGATTTGCTGTCTGGGTGGGGAAAAAGTCTCATTAGGTATCTGTAAACTGGTTCATATGTTTTATCAGTAAGAAAACCTGGCTTGTTAGCGGGATTTCCCAAACATCTTAAAAAACGGAAAACAAATACATGTTGATTTATTTCATGACATAACATAAATTCTATAACATTTACACTCTATGATTTGTTAGTTATATACACATAATATTATTGGTTATATAGAATAGACATTTCTTAAGTACTATACAAAAATAAATTTTCATTTTTGACATTCTTTTAGTAGGGTACCAGTTCATATTCTGCAACTCAGTGACATTTTGCAGCATCTAGAACACAAATATTGGTACATGTATATGCAGCAAATAAACAAATTACTAGATGAAATAAAAACAAACCTATGCAGAATCAATTAAATTTCAAATGTAGAATAATATGAAAAATGAAGTAAAATCTGGTAGATTGAAAATCTTTATATATGGGAAAAAACTTCAAGGAATTAGGAATTCAATGGAAAAATATTGAAATTATGGAATTTGGACTTTGGAAGCATCATTCTTTTTGCACTCAGCAAGGATTCAACCTGGGTGATTTGTAAAGCTTGGTTTGCATATGTACTGGATTTAAAGGAAAAGGGATATGCACAGTCTAAAATTAACCATGATTAACTGCAAACTTTTTTTCAATTTTAGAAATTAATCATTATAATGTTTTTACTAGTTTTTACTTAACATCCACTGTCCTTAAAAAAGGGATCACATTATTTAATGATTTTCAACTTTAAAAAAATAGTACATATTAAATTTTAATATTCATATTCTCCAAGTAACTTTCTACTTCTATTGCCAAAATTTATCATTTACCAGTATGTCAAATAATTTGACTTTCAATGTAAAATTAATCAACTCATATACATGCTGCTGTAAATTTAAAATTTGTAAATTCTGCAGCTTGTGTGAAACTCAAATGGCAGCCTTTTTTTTTTTTAAACATTTAAAAATCTGAAAGGAAAAAATTTTTTTAAAAAAAAAAAAAAAAAAAAACCAAAGAAAATATTCAATTAGTTCATGCAAGTAAACCAAAATGAGGAGAGATAGAACCTTCTTTTTTTTGGTAGAGTATATCTGAAAATAAAAAACATCACACAGAGTAATGCTTGTCTAATGACTGGAAGAGGTCTTTTTTCAAAAAAAGCCATTTTCATTTTTCAATTAAATATCTAATTACCATGATTACTGTAATAATGTATATGTATATTTTTTATATGGATAACTTTTCTTTTTAAAAGGAAAAAAAAAAAAATTCATTCATCAAGCACTTTCAAAATGAAGAAATCAAATTGAATGGACATGAATTTTGGCCAGTTCTATACACATTGATGTTTACATGAAGCAAAAATGAAGGAAAAATTCAATAAGTACATGAGAAAGGAATATCAATTTTAATGCATGAATAAAAAAAAAAAATTTAACAGTCACAAAAAAATCAAGAAACTAATCACTGACAGGACACGGGAAGGACTTTATGCTAGTTAATAGAGATCAAGGTAAGGGAAAAAAGGACAATCGTACTTACCGACATCTGCAATGGCAGGGGAGATAAGTCAGTATTAATTCTTATCCAGTACCAAAAAATGATTTTCATTTAATAATTAATTCAACATTAAATTTCAATTATAACTTCAACAAATTTACGATTTGAAACGTTGTTACAATAATGATTAGTCTTTATATTTAAGGTAAATGTACACTAAGTTGGCATATTTTATGTCTCAAATTAAGCTACAAGCTATTTTTTTAATTCAATAAATGGAATCAGCTGATTGATCAAACGAAGTTTTGCCATTTGTCAGAAAAAAAAATCCACCCGGGGATAATTTGAATGGGCCGGTCGGGTTACAGGAAACAAACATATTTTTTTTTTAGGCCTTATCATTATGATAGTGGAAAGCTCTCTCAAAGAATAAGTTTATGTCCCAACAAACTCATCAATTTAAAACATGTGCAAAACCTGTATCTAAAAAACTTGTATTCCACGACTGAAAAAAAAATTCTATAGAGTCTATACACAGCAAATTACATGTGTGGTTTGACGCGCCTGATATAAGCTGAATAAATAGCTGCGCTTGCCCAAATGGTTGCACCCTCAACATATCATTTTGTGATATAGGTGATTTTAAAAATGGTGTGAATGTGATAAAAAGATTTTTTTTGAGTTCAATAGAGTTATTTATATGTATAGTAAGGGGAAAATATAATCCACATGATCAATGTTTAGATACCATAAAACCAATTTTATACACCATTTTTTTCCCAAAGTTTAAAAATATTTTAGTTTTCCTAAAGGTTAAAATCTAATTACATGATTAAAAATTTGCTTTAAAATATGATCATTCTTAAAATACTTAAAACATAATTAAGAGGAAAAAATCCCAAAATGACCACACCTTTTTGATGTTGTATATTCTTGTCAGCATGCCCCTTCCTCTGTCATTTAGGTGGGCAACTTTTCCGCCAACTTTTGTTGGCTGGGTACCCTCGCACGAGACATCTTGTCTTTTCTAAGTTTGTAAAAACAAAAAATAAAAATGTCACAATGTTTTCATCCCCATTTAAATTTTTTTACACTTCCCGCAAATTTTACTTCCGGTTCTTCACCATTAAGATCAGTCTAAAATACGCAAAGGAAAAATTTAAATAGGTTTTTGAAAAAAACGCCAATATCTTAAAAATTATTGCAAAAATACAATATACTCTTCCAAAATATTCTGTTCAAGATACAATAGAATTATAGCAAGGGAAAAATTTAAATTAATTATCATGAAAATATTAACAAAAAATTAACCCACTAA